TAGGGAATTACTTGAGGTCACAGGACTCAATGTAACAATAAGAATGATCAAAGTGTAATTTGTCCAACAAAACTAACAGGAGCGATATCAGGCACAGACTGCACACTCACACGCAGTTTTCACAAGCTCCTCGGATGGTTGCATTTCCCGAGTTGGGAAGTCGTTCTTCCGACTTTGGTGTCATGAGACGCAATGTGACAACAGCATGGACATTTTTGTATATGGTCTGGGTGTTGCTATCCGAGCATGCTGCAACAGTCTGAAGCTGCGTGATTGTTTTTTTCTTCCTACTTATCTCTGAAGAAGGAATTTATTGTTCTTTAAGTAACAGGCATTTGCCCTTCATTCTTCATGTGACATCCGAGCTAATCTTAGACATCACTGCTGCTTTACTACTACTGCTACTAACTGTATCTGTAATCAGTACTACTAAGAATACTGATGGTAGCTCACTGCCTGCAATCAGTAAAAATGAAAATCTAGAGAAAATAATAAAATTACTAACTGAATTCCATTTATCTGCTTTGGTTTCGGAGTCATTGAAATTTGCATGCTGGCTTAATGTCATGGCTTACTAACAGTAACACCTAAATATAACAGCCTTTGTTAATGGTATTATTAACACCTGTGCTTTTCCTACTGTGTCGAAAGATCTGTTGGTACACCGAGTTTGATCATGCAACTCCCACCATAGCTCCTGCCCAACTTGAATCTGACCAGAGGTCGAATGGAGTGGAATACAACTTCATTGTCCACAAAAAGGTGGGAAATTGTCTTTGGCCCATCCAACATTTCACTAGACAATCAGACATAATAACTGAAAACCACTGTGTTAGCGTTGGCTGACAACTGAAAATGCTCTTTCTTGCAACTGTTTGGGAGGCAGGAATAAACAGGCTAATTACTGCGTGCTTGAAACAAATGCCTCTGATTGGCTAGGGAGTATCTAATTTGTTGATTTTGACCAGAGCCACCACTCTGAACAGAATCATGCTTGATTAAATGTGGAAGCCAAACTCGAGGTTATTATTATAAATAAAATATGCAGCTCTTACATAGCGCTATTACCAATTGAGTCAAAACTTCACACAAACTTCACTGATAGAAGTGAGACTGGATAATGACAGTAGCACTATTTCTAGTGAAATATAAATTAATTTAATTTCCAAATTGGTTGTATTCGTAGAATTGCATCACTTGGAGACAAGCAAGTAGAGAGCCATAAAATCCATATTGGCTGTGACCTATGGAGAGTTGTGTAGAATTGGACTTGCCTTTAACACTAAGAATAATATTGAGCTTTTGAATGACCTTTCACAGATGTATGCTTTTCATAGTGTACCCAAAAGCAAGCAAAAACAACAAAAGAAGGCTATCACTATTCAACTGTTGAAATAGTTTGTGCTTACCAGTGCTGGATCCGACTTTCACAGTCTTCCACCACCTGTTTCAGGACAAATTATTTCAATATGAATCACATTGAAAATCTATGTAATTTAGGCCTACACAGTCTTGTGTAGCGGATTTAATGGCGTGAAAACAAACAGGAAAAACAAACAGCCATAATACCCAACCAGACCAAGGAAGCAGAACAGGAAGACAAGCACAGCTGTCAACACGACGTCCAAATGGTCAGGACATTTATGGGGGTGCAAAGTTTGTTGCAGTCTTCATGAAGTCCCCCACACACAATGAGAAACACTGGCGTACTTTCAATAACAAATAATCTGAAAACTGGACGGAAAGAGGATGTGCTAGAGGAAGAAAGCCTAGTCTGATTACACTGTCAACTTTCTCAGCTTAATCCTTGTAACGTTAATCAAATGCAAAAGTGAAAGCTCGTGTTGCTGTGTTCCTGACTGAATGTCTGCGCGAGTGGGTTTGGCGTTGACTTTTTTTTGCTAGCTAATTGACTAACGTTAGCTGATCCGTCAATTAATAAAAATGTAAAGTAGCACATACTAGCAGAACACGCAGTGCAGAAGTGCAAAGAAACGACACACACCTCCAGGCAACATTTGCTTTACAAGAAGTTGAACACGCGAGCGGCGGCAGGGGAGGAAGCTTCTCGAAAACGGACAGTCAAAACAACTTAGCAATGTCGCGTAACAAGTTTGTACAAATAGTGTGAGCTCAAACGTATATATTTAATGTAAAAAGCACTTCAGCAGATCCACTCGTGGTTCAAACACCCTTGCTGGTCCACCGCGTGGCCAGTAGCTGGCTGTGGTTTGGCTAACGTTAGACGTCAGTTACTAGCCCCAGCAACGTTTTTCATGTCAGCTGCTTAAATTACCTTCTTGTGCTCTTCTCGGAGCCTGGCAACTCCACCGAGATGGTCTATATTCATTTTAACCTTTTCAGCCATTATCAACCCACGTGCACAACAGTAAAATGTGTTGTTTTGTGACCCCAAAACAAAGCTCAGGGGTTGTTGTGAGTCCTAAAGAAGTGTTTATGGATGCAGCAGCAGCTACTCCTGAGAGCCGTTCTGCTCGTATTCATCAATGGGGCGGTGATAGTTATCCTCACTCTCGATAGTGATCTCATCTCACACTCTCATTTCAAGATTTCTGCATGATTTCCAAAAATATCCACGGTGTTAATATTCCCAAGATGAGAAAATATTCCACGACGTTCTCGCTGCGACTACGTGCACCTCGGTCCGACGTCAAGACACCAGCAATTACAACGGAACTTCTGGTTATGATTTTCAAATTAAAAGACCTCATTGGTAAGTCGCTTTTTTAGCATCAGTATTATTTTCATTGTAGTAAAACGAACATAAACTAAAGAAAACACCTAGTGATATAACACGTGTCATTTAATTGGTAAATTAAAAAAACAATGTTTTACTTTACAAGTAAAACATCTGCCTTCTTGGGGGCCCCGGGATGTTAATGGGTCCTCCCTCTCTCTGGGCAGTGTGTACAGATACAGTATGCGAACAGTGTTTTTATACTATATTTTGACACAGGGTCCCTCTTCAAGCCAGAATATCAAGATCAGGTAATGAAGCAGGGCCCACCATAAGCCCCTTTTCAAAATTACATATAAGTAAAATTCCACAAAGCAAGTGCCACAAAGTGAGCTTGGGGCTTTTGTGGTGGCCTACGAGTCTATGAACTGTGGGCAGTCGCCAGCTTTACCAGATTCGCAATCAACTAGGCCCACTTGAGTAAAGGTAGCCTACTCAAGCATTTTCAGTAAAACGTACTAATAATGTCAAAAGTAAAAATAAACATCATGCAGAATGGTCGGTGTTAAATAATGTCTGTTTTATTATGTTAACTATTGTTTTGCAGCATTCAATTCCTATTATTCATGCCTTAAATGCTGCATAGGCAACATTTAAATTTGGTAAAAGTGGAGTTCATTTTAAGTCATCAATATACTTTAATTTACAATAATGTATTGTGTTTTGTAAAGTGATCACAGTTTTATGTGTGTAAATTGTTAATATGCAGCATAACCAATACAACTGTCAACAGCAGCACAGTTATGCCCTACCTACACGTCCCAATTCATATTTTTATTTTGAAGATAAAAACATTGTAGTTTCCGTTTTTCAGCCACATGAAGCCAACTTGAAGCAGCTGTGCCTCTGTGTCTCCCGGTGTACTCTGGGTAAATGTGGACAATTGCACGAATGTAAACAGTCGACAAAATCCTGCTGCACTGACCAACGCGGTGCTACAGTAACAAGCGCGACCATTTCCAGAGATGTAGGCCTATCTATTAGAAAAGTGGCAGTGAGTTCCCTCCTCCACATGTCATGGTGAATCCTGCAGCTGCACAAACATCGTAGTTACAGAAAATAGTTAAACACACACATGTAGATATAATAGCCCGCAAAGCTTTTAGTAGAGATGAATGAGCCCAGACATGGTAGTTGTTACGAACAAGTTTGGTTTCAGAAAATTCATCCACCCATGGTTCCAGCCCCCTTCTTGTTAGACGCTCATTGGCTGTTTTTGTTGCATTTACATACTATCGGAGATATCAGTACTACCAGTTATAATAGTAAAGGAAAAATATGCACTGTGAAACGAGATTCAAAAATCCTTTAAAAACAAATAATCCATAATTAGCGGTCCAAGACCAAGGGGGCGCAAAAAAACCAACACATGTCCACCATCAGGTGGCGGTATAATCAAGGTAGACTATGTGCGTTTTAGTGAGGCGAAATGTACTGTATATTTCTAAAGGCTGTTATGTTTGGTATGGTAGCCAGAGGTGCCTCAATTTATCCATTCATCTGAAAAGGCAAAACTATACACCTTTAAAATATGTTAATTTGAAAAAGGAATAATTTAAGGGGTATGCGATTTCCCCCACACATTACACATTCATTTAATATATTTGATGTAAGTATGTTTCGATCATCAATTTAATGTGTTGTTAATGTGTATAAGGCAAACCCCAATTAAACTATTATTAATGGATTAAGATATGCTATATACACTATATGTACAAAAGTACTTGGATACTCCTGTCCCAATACTTTTTGGAGGGGCATATTTGTTATGGTGTATTTTTTGCTAAGGGAAATCTTTATGCTACAGCAGACAATAGTTCTTCAGTTTGTGTTTGGCCTTTTCCTGTTTCAATATGAAGATGTCCCCGTGCACAAAGCCAGCTCCATAAAGACATTTTTTTCCCAGTTTGGTGTGGAAGAACTTGACTCAACACCTTTGGGATGTACTAGAACGGAGACGGTGAGCCAGACCCTCTCGTCCAACATCAGTGTCTGACCTCACAAATGCTCTTCTGGATGAATGGGCAAAAATCCCACAAACAAATCCAAAATCTCCTTCCCAGAAGAGTAGAAGCTCTTATAGCTGCAGAGGTGGGACCAACTCCATATCAATGCCTACGAATATAGAACGGGACGCTATAAAATCAATGCACTTTTGTCCATGTAGTGTATGTATACACCTAATCGTTGTTTTGTTGAACAAGCTGGGAAATTCGGGATTGGTCGGATGTCCCTGAATGCAGCAATGTTGTTGCTCCCATCAAGCATTGCGGTCAGAATCATACAAGCTCAGAAATCAAGCGTAACCGGCTGATGCTGAGAATAACTTGGAATCATAGTAACATTACAAGAATCAGCCCAACACAACTTGATGAGGATTTCGTTAGGCAGCAAGGTATGTTAATAACGTGTCCTGTGGTCACAGCGAGCTCTATGGATGCCACCCTGTAACGTTAGCCTAATGTTATGCCTTATGATGCTGTCTGATGTAATCAGGATTATTATTACTAACTTATCTCACTGGTATCTGTGGATAATGAACGTTACATTAGAACACGACTGAGTGCCACGATATTCAGCAAATGCAGGGCCATGTTTAGTAAAGTGTCTTTTGAGACTCTGTCTGATGTAAATTGTTCATTTGGGAATAGTTAATACCAACAAATACTGAAGTATTTTAGCTGACTGGCTATTTCCCTGATTTGTTATTATTCTAAAATATGCTTATTGTTAGATTGCTACATAGCTTAGAGTTCACATTTCTGTCATGTCTCCTAAAATGACACATCTGATCCACAGTATGTGTCATCGGGTTAATGATGTCATGAAGCTGTGTTGTGAGTTATCTGCCAATCAGCAGATCCAGACCACAGTGAAAGGCTCAGGGAAGGGAGCAGCAGCAGCTGGGGGACTGGCCTTTGCTGGAGGATTGGTCGGGGGTCCCCTTGGTATTGCAGTTGGTAAGTGGAAACAGTTTCTCTAACCTGTAGAAAAAAATGTACAACCACCTCTACTCGTTTGTCACTACTGGTATACTGAAACACACCTCGTATATAATATAAAGTATTCACAGAGTTAAAAGCTTTATTGCAAACAAATATTAGTTGAACTGATCGATACTGTTGCTAAATTTCACAAGTTTGAAACCCTTTTCCCCTGCAGGCGGTGCAGTTGGAGGCCTTCTGGGCTGCTGGCTGACCAGCGGACAATTCAAACCCCTGCCTCAGATCATAATGGAGCTCACTCCTCAGCAGCAGCAGAAGCTTTATGAGGATCTCATGGCCATCCTGGGAGAAATTCAGTGGACAGATTTGGCCCAGCTGACTGCTCTAGTAATGGGCAACGCTACTCTGAAGCAGCAGCTTACGGGTGCCCTTCTCGGGTATATCACCAAGGAGCTCCAGGCAGAGGTGCACTATGTGGATTAGTGTTTGCGGATAATCTGACTCAGGGCCCCACGTGCTCAAGAAGATGGAGTCCTTAACAAGAATGGGAACAGTTTTTATGAAGCTGGAGAGACTCAAAATGGCACTGACACCATCACAGTCCTGGTAACCTCTGGTTAATATGAGGTTAGCACATTATTGTGAATTTAAACAGCTATAACTGGATTAATTTATTTAATTTTTATTATGGGAAGTGCACTTATCAGTTGATGGAATTATTTATTCATTTAGCCTTTAATGGCACTTAGAATCACTGCGTCAAAAGTTACTCTGAATTAAAGTCTGACTGAGTGGTTTAGCTACAACAAAGTAGTTTTCAATATTATTTAAATATTTACATACAAAGAATTATGCTCTAAATAAGAAGCAACTGTACAGTGTGGAATATTTTGATTTGATGTGAATTTATCAATTTTGCATCTGTGTACGGTATATTGTATTGCTATCACTGAGTCAATTCAAACTCTTTATTGCTTTAAATGATTTTTCATCAATAAAAACAAATGTTTGTTTCACTGGTTCATACAGTTTTACATAGTACACTTTGTTCCATGGGATTAAATTACACCGTAAAACAGTTGTGCTTTATGTTACTTGGCACTGTTGAGACGCTCCTTGCTGCTGCCATTACTCGTATAAAATTATAAAATTGTCAACTTATCTGATCTCTAGACTTCCTTCCAGTCTTTTGACACACTGACACATTCCTGAATCAGATTACATCTCGCATCATAGGTCAGCTCAACTTTATGTAACCATAGAACAAGCTGCAACTGCCCTCTAAACAAAAAGGTAGAAAAACAAAAAGTCACTGTCTAATGTTAAAAATGTAATCCTTGCTTTTGCAATTAGTGAGACTATAGGTTCTCTTAAGTACAAAGTAGAACTCAGGCTAGTGACACAAATGTCATTTTCCCAAAGCCCAAATTAAGCCTTTATGTAAAATTTTGTTTCATTAGCCTTTTGCGGTTGTGGATTCATTTTGCATTTTTGGTTCCACCTTTCATATAGTGTTTCTATGCATTTTCTGCCCTCAAATTTTGTCTGTTTTATTTTGCTTCCCTTTCCACTTTGTAACTTTTTGTTTTACATAATGTTATTTGCAAAATAGCAAATGTTCAAAGTAGTGTGGAATGACATCTATTAAGCATAAGTACTCTGAATCCCAGTGGAAATTTGCAGTGAATCAAAGAAGAGCTAAATGATGCAGAACAATCATTTTGAGAGTGAAGAGGTGCAATGACTAAATCATACAGTTGGAAATGTGTCTTTATTAGTAGATATACATATTTTATGTCACCCCCTACTCTCACACAGAGCCATCTAAAAATACATATTACAGAGAGGAACTGAGACAGAGTCCCTCGTATTTATCCCACAATGACAATGTCATCGTGGAATTCATAGTAGGGAACCTCCAGGTTAAGAGGAGCAGGTCCCTTTCTTATTCTTCCTGAAGCATCATAGTGGGAGCCATGGCAAGGACAGTAGTAGCCTCCATATTCTCCGGCGTTTGCAATGGGCACACAACCCAGATGGGTGCAAACACCAAGGACGATGACCCAGTTGGGGTCAATGACTCTGTCCTTGTCATGCTGGGGATCACGGAGCTCCCCCAAATTCACAGACGCCTCTGTGGCGATTTCCTTCTCTGTGCGGTGACGGACAAACAGGGGCTTTCCTCTCCACTTGAAGGTCATGTTTTTGCCTTCAGGGATGTCAGCGAGCTTGATCTCAATCTTAGATAAGGCCAGGACATCTGCTGATGCACTCATTGAGGAGACAAACTGGCTGACCACTGTCTTGGCTGCGTAGACGCCAACCACAGAGCTTGCACCTGTGACAAGGTAAGAGAACACCCTTCTTGCCTCACTGCTCTCCTGGGAGGACTTGTTGGGGTCGGTGACCTCGGGGCGGCGGTAGTCTGTAAAGTCAGGAATCTTGAGATCTGTGTGGGCAAGACGGATTCCTGCAGGAGCTGTGAATTAGACACATGATGCATTTTTAAAGACAAAATAAGCAGATGGGCAAATTTTATTATAAGCTATAAATATCTTATAAAAACATTTAAAAATAATGCTTGCCTGTCATTATTATTCAGTATTTCAATCACCACATTTCTTCCTTAAAATGTTAATTAATAGTAGTTTTAATAATGATCAAAAATACACACTAAATGATTTTTGGTGCATTCACGTGACCGTGGAAATTGGATAAGTTTACTTTTAGCACGGGAGACACATTTCAGTCAATCATCATAGGAACTCTTTAAATGTTGTCTTCTACTCTATAACCAGCAATACAACGTATTCTTTTACCTAAATCAGCATTTCACCTGTATTAGCATGTCAGCACAAACCTGTTTTAACCAGGATTACATTCATCTCACTAGTCTATATTTGGTCAACCCGTTCTTATTGATGACCCTGTCAGGTCAGGTCACAGATTTCAGTGACATCCACATTAGCTAACGTTACTTCCTGCTACAGCAAGTTGTTGTTGACATCAAAACAAAGATACATCACATTTAGACGTTGTCTAATATAGAAATATTAACTAATCAGTACGATGTCCATATGTTAAGTTGTATCGTTACATCACGCAGCTCAATACCACTACCAGCTCTGGCCAACGTTACTAGCCACACGCCCGTCTTCGGCCTTACCAGCAGCAGGCAGCAACTCCTTAACTCCGGGGAACGCCAGGCTTTTAACTGTGTGTTTTGTTGCCTGCAAGTACGGGGAAAGAACCCCGGGACGAGCGGCTATGGACATCATTTTGCCCAAGGTAGTACACCCCGCAACTGCGGACACGACACGACCTTGCCTTTACAAATGTTGAGTGCACCTTTCTAATCTGTATTAGCAGCCACCCACTCTGCCTTTACAACGTTCCGCATTACTTGAGGTGTGACCGAAGTGCCCCTTTCGTTTTTTCTAATATATCTCGTTATTTTATAACTCTAAAGTTAATCATTAATACTGCAATTAAATATTATATATTCAGTGTTGACATATGGAGATTTGTTGATCCAAAATGGTAGAAACCATACTAAGAATAAAATAACGGTGAATTTGGTACAGGCATTTATCGAAGTCAGCTGTGTCCAAGGGTCCTCGTGATGTAAACAAGGGTCCTCTCACAAAAAATGGAGACTAGCTAACATAACACAATGGTAACATCAGAGAAAAAAGAAAGAAAAGAAACATGAAAATACCAAAAAGAAAACTATTTCTTCTAATAATTTTTGCATATGTGGCATTTTCCCTCTACGCTGCATACAATGTCTTCTTCAGCACTAAAGTAATCTCTCGCGTTCACAGGGTGGTGAAGAAAGAGACGGGAGCAATCTCGGGTAACTTCACTTAGCACAGCCGTTGTCTAGCCCCTACATACAATTTTTATAAATTGACATCTAGAAACCAATTTTTTTCTTATGCTAAATAAACAAAATGCATACCCCGTGAGATGAATGAAATTGTGTGTTCTGTAGGTGGTGTCAGAGATGGCGGTGCTGCTCCATTTTTAGCAGATGACTGGAATCCGTGGGAGGATGAACAGGTGGAGTACAACTCTGCTCTGAACAAAAAGAGGGAGGCCTTCAAACAGCATCTGAGTCGAATTGACAAGAACAAACCCAAAAGATACAGGGTCCAGATCTGGGGGAAAGCTGCCATAGGTAAGTCATGTTCTTACATGAGATTAATAATAATCTGTCACAGCCTGCAGAGAAGGTCTGCGTTGTGGTTCGGGCGTGAAATTGCAATAATTGTAATACTTTACAGTGTTAAGTCTCCATCTGCATGTGCACATTTACTAGTACTGAAGCTGAGGTGCAAGAAATGCAGGAACTGGGCAATACAACAAAAGAGTTTGCAGTGTAATTGCAGAGGGAAGGAAGATACTTTGTTGATGAAGGGGAACGGTGAACCAATAGATGAGGAAGGAGAATAGATTGGAAATTGTATTTTACATTTGCTTAAACAGTAAAATTGATCTTTGAAATTAAAACATAATAATAATGTAATCAATCTTAAGCGATCTTAAGAAATCTTGAGTGTCTTAATGTCCAGAATCAAGATTTTTCTAAAAGTCAAGTCCAAAAGTAAAGTAGATACACAAGTTGATTAATCGTATTGGTGTTGCACAGAGTGTAAAGAAAGCCAACCAAAAGAATAGCAAATGTGAGAAGAACAAACACCAAATTAAACTGCATCTCAGACATATTTTTCATTATCTCTGTAATTGATCTAATTTGTAGCAAAATCACAAATTATTCTCTTTCTTCCATTAGAGAGAGGGATACAACTTTGACAGTCCCTGTAAGAAAATGACATTATTCTGTTTACTATTTGGAAAAATAAATAAGGCTTCAAATGTTAAGATTGTTAGTCATAAACAATAATGATAAGCCTTTTCTTGAGTTTTCCCCCTCCCCTTGCTGTGATGTAAATGTTTTACATGCTTCCAAATTTATTAAGTTATTTATTAAGTTAAAGTGAGGCCCAATTAAGTTCAGTAACTGTGTATACTGTATACTCCTGATGTGCAAATACAGATGTAGATACAAACTACATAAAGCTGATTTATGCCCTGCTGCAGAAGCCTGGCAATGGTACAATGTAATGCCATTGCACGCATTGATATTTTAACTATAGTAGCAAATTGCATTGAACCCCTCTTTTGTCCTCAGGGCTCTACCTTTGGGAACATATTTTAGAAGGACCCCTCAACCCTACTGACAAGGTAGCACAATGGAGAGAGGGAGAGCTGCAGTCAGGAAAGATTGACTTCAGGTAACAAAGTTGGGACTCTGAAAAACTGCCAAACGCAAGCATATAGCGTGCTTTTGGGACAAATTGGCTTGTTCTCCCTCCCTCCCTTCCGTTTCTTGCCTCTCCATCCTCAGTTTCTACACAGGTCCTGCTGTGGTCCAGGGTCACGTCCCTCTGGAAATGAACAGCCTGGTTCTGGTTCTGAATGGCCGCGAGCAGCAGAAGGTCTCTTACTCCACACGGTGGCTGGAGCATGTCCAAGCTCTGGTACAGTCCCACACGGTGTCACATGTGGCTGTGGTCCTGCTGGGCAATGAGCACTGCAACAACAACTGGATTGGCCCGTACTTAAAGAGAAATGGTGGCTTTGTGGAGCTGCTCTTTTTAGTGTACGACAGCCCCTGGGTCAACGACAAGGATGTCTTCCAGTGGCCTCTTGGTGTTGCCACGTATGTCATTTCTTAGTAGTCCTACGTGTGTATGTGTACATCATTGGTGTTCAATATCAGTACATTAAACAATGCAGGTTGTCTTTTTAAATGAATAACATTATCTAACATGTTGCTCTGTTTTTCTTGTCTCTGCAGATACAGGCAGTTTCCTATGATCAGGCCTAATGCGCAACTGATCACTTCCAACAGGCCATACCTCTGCAATTTCCTAGGAACTGTTTACAAAAATTCCTCCAGAGAAACTCTCATGCAGGTGCTGAAACAATCTGGCCTGGATAAGGAATGCATCACCACTGCCAGGGAGAAGTAAGTCATTATTCAGTTGTAGAGCCATTGTTTAGGACTGATATGGAGGAGCAAAGCTTTTTATATTTTGTTTCTCTATTGTACTTTTTTTAACATCGAAAATAATTTAATTATTTATGATAAAACAATTTGATTTAACGTCGTTGAGGATCTAACACTTTAAAACTACACAGTCCTCTGTCTGTCCAAAACAAGTTCAGCTTTCAAAGCTACAGTACTTCTAGTGTGAAATTCTTATGTGTTTAATATCTACTTAAAAGGCTTTAGAAAATAACCACTTGATTTGCTAAGTCAGACTGCTGAAGCCTCATATTAGCCTCAGCTGAACTTTAGAATACATTTTTGCACAGACTGAGAACTGCATTTTGTCCCCCATCACTTATATTGGAATTGTGTTAGGAAGTGATCGCCTCATGGCTCGTAGGGACAGGAGTAAGGACTGCCTTGACTAGTAACGCTTTCAAAGCACATATGTACATGTGATTATTGTTTAAAGACAGACTGCAATTGCAAAAAAAAAAAAAAAACATCCTTTTTTTTTCTTGAATGATGATATTGTCAGGAACTTTGGTGTTATCAGAAGTTACATTTAGGGCTGACGGAATTTGAAAAAATATCTAATTGCGATCATTTTGACTGATATTGCAATTGTGATATGATTTACGCTACTAGGGGTAATGATCATATTTTACATAATTATTCTCATTTTAATTGAAAAACACTGAGATTAATTATGGTGTGATATTTGCAGTGATCTATACTAAACAAAGATGTTTTCTTAAGTTTCTAGAATATGATGTGTAGGCCAGGACATCTCTGCAGCACGTCAATATTAAATTTAAAATGGTATTTTGACACACATTACCTACCACATTAACAAATATTGTGCCTCCTTCAATCTGTAAATTGCATTAGGCCCTATTGTGATTTCGGCAAAATTTTGAACAATTGTTAAGCCCTAGCTACATTTATGTTTGTTTGGCCATGTAAACGTATCTATAATTGCCTATTTATTACAGCAGCTTAAAGTGTAGACTTAAGTATCCTTTCCTTCCTCCTTGCCTCAGGTGGCTCCCTCAGGAGACAGCAGACAGTCTGAGACGCTATCAGGCTGCTTTGGCCCAGAGCGAGCTCACTCTCTGCCCAGTCGGGATCAACACAGAGTGCTACCGCATCTACGAGGCCTGCTCTTATGGCTCAGTGCCAGTGGTGGAAGATGTACTGACGCCTGGGACCTGTGCGGCCGGGCCCAGCTCTCCACTACGGCTGCTCAAAGCTGCAGGAGCACCCTTCATCTTCATCAGTGACTGGAAAGAACTGCCTGCCATCTTGGAGAGGGAGAGAGGGATGAGCCAGGAGCAGAGGGTGGATAGGAGGAGGAGGCTGTTGGAGTGGTACGCCAGCTTTCGTCAGCAGATGAAGGAGAGGTTCACTGAGGTCATCGAGGAGTCTTTCTTCAAAAGCAGCTGACTGCGGTGCTAAATTCACAAACCATTAAGGATACACAGGGGTAGACATTCAGTATTGATTAAATTTATTTGGTGGTTTGTAGAGAAATGTGACATACTACTGGTGTAGTGTTCCTGATTATGTTCAGTGTAATGTTCCTTTGCGGGTTAAATCATTTATGTATGTAGTAAAGTTGTAAAGCTGCCATTACTAGTCAGTAAAGGGCCCATGACATTACTGTATATGTATCCTCTAAATGTTTACAGTGGTGAATGTCCAAATGATAAACTGCCTTTGCATTTAAAAGCATTTATGTTAATTTAACTGTGTTTTATATCTCTGTTTGTATGCACTTAATATTGTGATTTTTTAGAACACTAAACATTAGGTGTAGAATGAGACCATGTGTTTTTAGGTTCTGTTTGAAAATGGTACATTGAGCTATTTTATATTGTGAGCAACTTGAAAATGGATGTTGTTGCTGTGGCATGTGTTGCTTTTTTTTTCATCAAAACATTACAAAAACATTTCTTCTTTGTTATATTTATTTCAGTACAGTGCTGCATGGATGTTTTTTTAAGAAAGTGCAATCAAATAAATTGGAGTGTTGTCCTGAAGAGAAATTTGTGCTTTTACTTTCCCTGCAGGTGGCGCTGTGGACCAGTCGATTATTAGTGGATACAGTGATCTCAGTTGAAATTTAAAGACTAAAGTTAAGAGGAAAAACTTAACTTGACCTTAATTTTTGTAATATAATGGAGGGAAAGCATGGTGTTATCTTCAAAGTTTGTTTTGCTCTTAACAATAAAATATATGTATGTATATATATTACCTTTAGGGGCACACAGCTATATTAGCTGTAGGAAATATGTGGGCCCTGCAGCCGTGGTCCCCTATATATACCTTTTTTTCTATCTTGTACAGCACTGTATGTCTGTATATTTTAAATAGATATCCATTGGATCTGTCTTTTGGTTAAATGAGGGCAAAAGTAAAAGCCATTGTGCTTGTTATGAAATGAAAACACCTGACATATAATTGTTTTCATTACATGTATAAGGAAAACCATTACGCATAAATTGCAGAAGCCTGTAGTCACGCTGGCTGTCATACTCCGTTCCTACAGCTGACTAATACGGACAAATAGCATAAGCCTTCAGATTTGGGAGCAGGAGTGTGAGTCCACTGGTGTCCACTAGCTGCATGTGGGTGTGCAGATCCCTCCCTCTCTTTCCTGTCCTCTCCCTGCTGCCGGCTCCAGCTGCCGTGTGCTGCAGTCGGCCTGCCCTGTTTGCCTCTGAGCCTGCTGGGAGTTGGAGGGAGAGCAAGCGGGGGGAAGTGTGTGTGGGTCCCAAACTGGAAAACAACCAAAAGGCACACACGCGTACAATTCAGGACTTTAAAGCCCTCCGGACGGGTTGTTGGCACTACGTTACAGGGAGCTGTGAAAAGCCGTCACGGAGACCCTGAAAGTTGCGTGATTGTTTTTCCTTCTTCTTCTGTGGTAGCAGCACCGCTGTTGCGCCGCGCGGACTGCTCTGGTACTTGAGTGGATTCATTGGTTGGAGCAGGGTTGCGCATTGGCCCTGCTGTATATCCACCGCTTATCCAGAGGGGAGAGGAACAATGAAGAACTAAACGTTTTCTTCATTGCTCCAAGTCGGGCTTGTTGCAGGGAAACCATTTTCAAAGTGTTATTTTGTCTCGCGCCTCTTCTCTCCGTCGCGTTCATTTTCTCGTCCTGTGTGGGATGCGTCGCCTGCTGTAGGATCCCGCTTGTTGACTAACTGTTTTTGCAAGAAGTTTACAGCGAGCTTCGGACACGAGAAGAGAGGGAAAATGTCCACGCCGAGGTTCAAAAAGGATAAAGAAATCATCGCGGAGTACGAGAGTCAGGTCAAAGGTAAGAGAGGGTGAATGTTTCGCTTGGAAATGTGCTTGCTGGAGCCGCTGGGAGACTAATTGGGACCAGGCTAACCATAGTTCATCACTACCTGCACAAACCGATGCGGTGTGTTAAATAAAAAAATTAAAAAAACGTCGGTAAAAAATGACCTGTCGGTTCTTACTGCAAGGCAAATAAGCACATGTTTCACCAAAGCATCCTGTATTCATATAACTTGGATTTCTGTTAAATAACTTTCAGGCCTGGTCCAATGTAATAGTAGACTATTCACCATTATAAGGGAGTTAACTTAATTAGCAAAATAGAAAGCTTGGCAATTGAGTTCTGTAGGGGGCTTTTTAAGTATTTTGTTAAGTAGTTTTGCATGTGAAAGCCAATGAAAGTACTCAGGAGATTCATCATTGGCCTGAAAGAAGGGATCACTATCTTTCACAGGTAGCCTGTAGCCTATTAAGGTGCCTGTTTTGTTCAGGTTGTATGTCCAGTCAGGTTGCAACCTTTTATCTGCTCAAACACATTTTACCACTACTTTGTCTGGTGTATTTTATTATCATTACCTGTTTAACAACCTGTTACCATCAAGGTTAGTCGCTGAGTATTTCTCAGTTGGAGACTTTGTAGTTATTGTTCCCACAGCATAACATCACGGTAATTTAACTGAAGGCCAGGAGGAGCACAAGCCCATGCAACACACCTGTATTAAGATGCAGTGTCTTGCTCAGGGGCACTTAAGAAGAGCTGGTTGCTTGTGGTCAAGTCCTTTTTAATTTATTTTACTACTCTACACCCTCTCTGTTTCCTGCTTAATGTCACGAGCCTACACTCCAAACCATGAAACAGCCTTTTGCCCTGATTTACGCAGGTGATTTAGAGGTGTGCAAGGCACCACAATGATGCCACCCTAATTCACCTTGTCCCCTCTGTCTCCTTCAAGCCTCCCCATGCATGCAGAGTAGTGGTAGTTTATTCCCCAGACAGACCAGCACAGGAAAGAGGCAGTTGCTGCTCCAGGGTAACCATGGGGATTTGGCCCCAAGCCAACCAGCTCTGTTCTTCAGAGCAGTTAGCATGCTGAAATACCACCTTTTCATGTCGCCATATACAACCTTAAATCCGGAGGGGGGGGGGGTTCTGTCCCAAGGTTTTAGAAGGGGGGTAGAGTATGGAAGGGACCAGTACTGCTTGAGGAATTACAAGATTGCATTGAGTTGAGCTCAAGCTCATTTGCGAGGAATGTTCAGCACCCTTTCTTGTCCCTGCGGTGATGACTAAGGGCTTTCAGCCTGTAATAGCGGATGATGCACAGTCATAGGGGATGCTGAACAAGAGATGACGAAGCCTCCCATTTGTCAAGCAGAACCCAGCGGGGTAATAACAACAACCTGATGCTGATAATAGCTGTTGCTTGTTAAGACCACCGTAGCTGCAGTAAATCAATGTTAAGGTGTATTGTTTTGTTGAATTCAATTCCGAGGGTAATGCACTGGGGCTTGTCGTGCATTGTAAACATTCCCGTGAGGATATTTTATTATTTTTTTTATTCGTACAGGAACATTACAGGGAATGCGTTGCTATTTGCATAAAGTACTGTACTTGTTCTGTTTGCATTGCAAATACGCTGCTGGTATTCAGTTTTAGAGTTGCTTTATTTATTGTCATTGAAATGTATTTTTTGGACAAAGACATTTTGAGGATGTATGAGGATAATCATTTGTTACATTTAGGGCCTTACTTTTTCTGTCTTTATACTTGTCATGCATAATAATGACTCTTTGGTAGGTCAGACAACTCCTGCAAATGCAGACCCTGTTTTTGTTTTTATTTTAAATAATAGCTGTCAGGCTCGCAAGTTTATGAGTAGTTAGTAGTGGATGACAATGATTTCTGTCAACGTTAAGGAGGCTATTCTGTAGCAGCTCCCGATTTTTATTTTTTTTTTGCAGCTGTAAAGCGTTTTATGAGTTAATAGTTTGCAGTGATAATGAGTGGGCTCACATCTGCAGTGTAGCTGTGACAGCCAGAGGCTAACAGTGAACAGACATTGATTACTCAAGAAGTAGAACAACAAGCAGCTCAGAACAGCCGGAGCTGATGTTTGATCTTTTGGCCTGCATCCTCACTGTCTCACAGTTTAAAAAAAAAATGTTTTGATTCCAACAATATTTCCACAAATATCTGGCAGTTTTGCCACATCTTATGAAAGCACATTGATCTTCAGCCCAAAGCTCACTGTCCCGATTTTGACAAATAACACGTACAATGTGGTCGTCTCGTCTGCCGTCATTCAGTAATCCAGCAGTTATGCAGATGTACACCAACAATTCCCATTTTTTCTGAGAGCGTCATCTTTATATCCATGTGTTTTCAGCATTTTTCAAAGGCATGGCAGCAACAGTGTGCTGAGTGGCATTGTTATTCAAGTCAGTAGATGTGAGGTATTTAATGTAGTTTCCTATGGTGACTGTCTGAAAGCCTCCGCACAATGGCTGACACTACTGTTTTTAGGCTGGATTTGTCATTCAGATGACATTCACTTCTTAAGTACCCTGCAACAGCTTTTTACCCTTTCACAGATGAAAATGGATGTCTTTTTGGCAATTCAGGGAAATGATCCTTTTATAGAAAAAGCTCTGCAGCATGGGGATTTGATTTTTGCTAATTGCTAAATTCAGCATCTACATCAAGAGGCTTGTTTTGGAAAAACAAAAACATTAAGAAGATTGGGTTAAGACAGTGGAATTTGTTTTGGCTTTATAGCACACATCGGTTACAGTCAATTTAAATAATTTTAAGCAGGCTAGGCAAAGGTTGTGGGTACACTGGCAGGCGTTCTCTGTGGTCCTCTGTTCATGTGGATCGGTGGATCAGGGCATAGCAACACTGTGGTGTTTTCTCTTGGGCAAAGTGTTGTTTGTGGCCCGGGGGTCGTGACTCCGATGACAGGACCCCTTGAGCCTCTGTCAGGGGTCCTCTCCCAGATCATCATAAAAGCTACCCCCTTTGACCTGCATTCCCTGCCGTTTGAAATCAGAGCCCTGCCCCTCTGCATACTCAAAGAGAGAGGTCTGCTCCCATGTTTGTATGCACGGGGATTAAAAGCAGGAAACTGCTCTGAGGTGGTATGGTCTTGATTATCTTTCAAATTAATGGGATTTGTCTTGTGGTTAAAAGTCATTAGTTTCTTTACATCTGTAATAGTGGGAGTTAATGTTGTCCAATTGCGTGGCAGAAAATGAGCGTGTACGTGTTGGTCACTGTCCATTACACAATGGATTGTGTAATGTACAGTGTCATTTTGCTTTAAATTAGTCCTTCATGGTGAAATCAATCCAGTGTGTCACCAGGCAAGTATGGTGTACTGAAACTGCCGTCTCTTTATTTAGAAAGGTTCTTTGGGCTCATCTTACTGAAACTAAAAAAACTGAAAAAACTATGCTAGATAATGAGTACTAAAGCAAATAGTCAATACATACAGTCGCTTGCGGAGTGCTTTCACAGAAAGTGGAACCCAAAACTTGTCCTTGATTCTGTTACAGTCAACTTTACAGTCAATATATTTTATACATACAACAAAGTACAACTTTATTTTGAGTTTTTGATGAGTAACTGTCAATTAATTCTATCCACTGACTAATTGATTGACTAACTGATGCTTTATTTTCTTTTCTTTGGGTACAAGTCTGTCTCTATGAATGCACACAGTCTCTACTTAAAAAT